CGCTGGCGCCGGGGCCGCGGCTCCCTCCTACTGGTCCTTGTGCCGTGCGAGGGAGATGCGGCAAGAGAAGCTGCCCCGCTAGCCTGGCCGGGGCTCAGCAGGGGAGAGAGCGGCGCAGGCTGCAGCTCTGCACAAGCTCTGGCTGCCTCCCTGGGTGTTTAAGAGCTCTTCAAAACTGCTCCGGTTGCAGGGAGACGAGCTATTCAATTCACTTCTAGCGAATTAGCCAAACATGCTCATTTTACAGAGGAAGCAACGTGTCAGGCCAGGCGAGAACTGCTCAGAGCCATCTCCACGGGGCGACGCAGCAGTGTCTGCTCTCCTGAGACAGCGGAGAAGGGAGAGCAACACACATCTCCCTGGAAAAGCAGGGTACAAGCACAGGGCCAAGAGCTTGGCAGAGCATGTTTCACCTGAGTAGCCCTGACACAGAGAGATGCCTAACGCGCTGTCAGTGTCATTTCCCCCAGCCTTCAGGCAGTTCATGAGTCTCAAGGCGTTATCCTCAGTCTCAGCACACAGAGATGCGCAGCTCCAAGTAAACAGCCACGAAGTACATGCAAATGCACATGCAGGTATTTGCAGCTTTTGCTGATCCACATGTAAACAGCATGTGCGTGTGCAAGACAGGCAAGTAAATACGCCCTGCACGTGACAACGTGTGTGTGTGCGTGCAGGACAGGGTGCATCTAGGTGCTTTCATGCAACTGCAATGTCACCCTCAGCTGCTGAGTCAGTCGTGCTGGTTATTGCTGCCACAAAGCCACGTTACAGCTTCGTGCTCAGGAGCAGCCCAGCACCATGCCTAGGCCAGGGCAGTTCATGACCGAGACGGCATTGCAAGCCCCGGTGTGCGCAGACACGATTCCCACGCGGGCACCCTGCGCCTGGCACATGCCACCTCCCAAGGCCTCCACGGCGCCCGCACGCCACGCTGGGCACCACCACGTTGCTGCGTCCACACGCGGCCATCTGGACACCCACTCGCCGAGCAGCCCGAGCCATCTGCACCAACGGCGCCTCGGCGCACATACAACACTCCAATCTGCACCGCAGCCACCCACGCCAGCCTGGCCACGTGGGAGCACTCGCGCTGAACGCAACCGGGCCTCTCCGCACGCAGAAACCCATGCACCAAACCTGCCTCCCCTGCGTACCCACCTACAGGCAAAACCATCTGTGTGTGCACGCACCCCGGAGACTAAACCTGCTTCGGGACTGGAGTTTCCAACAGCCCCTCAGTGCTTGCCCTGCTCTTGCTTGCCCCTTGCTGTGCATCCCCACCATCCTGCCCTGGCTGCTCACAAGTGCTGCCAGCACCCAAGGGACATCAGAACTGGGGGTCAAAAACGTCACCCTCGCAGCACCACACACCCTTCTCTGTCCTGGAAATTACTGAGCCTGACGAGAAGGAGAAACTGGGGAAAAAAAAAATCTGCAAATATCAATACCTCTGATTGCCACTAGAACAAAGAAACTAGCTGTTAACTAGCTGTAAAAAGACATTTAGCTGTAAAAAGACATTTTTTTAACTAGCTGTATCTGACAATGGCTATAAAACTCTAGCAAGGACACACAGCGACAAATCCTTTATGTCCTAATATAGTCCATCTCCCTCCTCCTCTCTCATATATGTCTATTCTCAAGCCTTTTCTGCAACCTAAATCCCTTTATCCAACACCTTCACGCTGACAGGCAGAGCCAGCCACAACACACAGACCCTGCGATTTCAAACCTCCCCCAGGCATCTTCCCGTCAGCCTGGGAGGAAGAGCCAGTGGCCAGGCACGGATTTACGTGTGATGAAGATCACTTCATCCCTCACAAGACAGGGCTGTGTCTGCCGCTGCCTGGAGACCAGGCAGGTCCTAAAGATCCACCTGCCCCATCTCCCCATGCCAGACACGCCGCAAGCTCCTGGCCTTGGACCATCTCATCCCACTGCTGCAAAGCCAAGGGGTTTGGGGAGCTTGGGCAGTTCCCAGCAAATGAGAGGAACCTGGCCGCTTTCTCTGACCCTGTTGATCAGGGCTCGTCTGAAGACACCAATTTCTCTCAGCAAATTTGCAAGAGATTCTGCAGTGCACAGGCTTGGCTTGGTTTCAAAGCATAATGAAACGCAAAATTCCCCGAGAAAGGATTCTATAAAAAAAAATAATAATAAAGTCTTTTCTGCCGTACTGAAATGTACTGTTTTGGAAAACAAATCAAAACGCCTCGTTCCAATGTTGACTTTGAAAGTTTTATGCGATTTAGACCGTATGACACTGCAAAATAAAAGGAAAAAAAAAAAGCA